AGCAATCAACAGGATTGTACCCTATTTCCCCCCCTCCCCTCCCCACCGTCTCCTCCCTCCTTTTTGGAAACCCGAAAAAACGGAGAGGATTGGTCCTGCCCGGATCGTGCGCACCGGGAGGGGGTAGGGCGAGGGTTAACTTACTGTTCTAGTCTCTGGACCTGGATCTAAACACCCCCAGGCCTCCGGCCTCTGCGGATTAATGCATCTGTTGTGCCTGCACTTGACAGTGCCGTCATCCCTGTAGACTCGCGGTACCGCGGTGAAATTAAACGTTCCGTTTTGTTTGAAATATGTTGTGCCGCCTGCATTGACAGCGACGGGTGCGAGACCAGCCGGCCCAAAGGAAAACGAGTTCAAGGTGGGGTACTTGCTGAAGTTGTTGTTTGAAACCCGAAAGCCTTGGGGCAGGGCCCGGCCTAAGCCCAAGGGCCCTTGGCAAGCAAACTATTTCTTTGCGTAACAAAGCGCTCCTTTCGCAGTTAACTTGTGGGGTGAGTCCGCAAAAAGAGTTCCTGTGTCTTGCAATTCTTGCGTACAACTTGTACATGCACTAGACTGTCATTCGTCCGGTCTGCGGGTCTGTACAGATCATCAATCCTTGTTTGAGAGACCCCTAACCACTGCCTGATGATTTCGGTTTGCAAAAACTGAAAAACCACTCGCATGCTGATTTAGCTTGTTCAGGCTCAGACAACCTATCTGGCCTTTCCGATGCATGAATTTGTTAGGGCCGCAGCTTCCGCGCTGCAATGATCAGCGCATGGAAGATCTTATGTTTGCTTCCGCTCCATCACACGGCTGCTGCCTTGGATGAACGCAGCGAGGACGAGGGTAGCTTTGAAAGTATTTTTCACCTGTAACGTATTCAATTTGCTATAGGAAATCCCTATGTTTACGTTTGATGTAAGAAGTACATTGCAACCTTATGCTTGGGCGAGATTGCATGGAGGAAATCTAGCACCTCTTGATACACCTAAATCCCCAATAATCGCAGCGTTGTGGGGCTCCTAAGTAGTGCAAAATTTCCTCTACCCACCGGAGGAGTCCAATGCCATGAGCCTTGTTCAGAGGAAGGTGCTTCCGCGATATGTTGCCCCATCCAGGCCGTCTCTGGCTCAGCAGCCAAGGCTCAAGCCATGGGAGGTGCACAAGTCTCCCGGCCCAGCTGAAAGTTGACAATCATTTTAGTAATTTTCTTATGCTTACGTAGAATTGAGGGCTTCTGAGTTCAACATCCAATACAAAATTGAAACTTGCAGATTAATGGCATCCCAATGTGGAACTGGTAGCTGCATTCATGAAGTGATAGCAACAGCCGAGGTATTTCCTTGTTTCATTCCACAAAACTGGAGTGTGGTTCATGGACAAGATATGGAATGTTCTTTTCCCAGTTCTGGGAGCAAAGGAAGATGATTTAGGCGCATGGGAACAGCCACTGGGACAGATGTGAAGGCATGTTTGTTTCCATTACCTTGACACTCAGAGCTCCCCCTAGGTTTTTGAGGGAAAACTCCCAGTTAGGCCATGCTACACCTGGACATCATGCCACCGCCCGGAGGCACCGATCCAGCATCTTAATGGCTGACTAGAAAGCACAAATTGGGTTGAGTGCATTCTTGGCACATATTCCCAGTTTTATACTTCTGAGTCTAAGGGATCTATGGCCCTCAACAATATTACAGGTCGATCATCAGGGCCCTCCACGTCGCACATACCATCCAAGAACCGTAAAACCCAAAAACCGAGTTGCTACTGTATGTACAATCCCCTCCGAAGCAAGAATCCACTGCAGTATTCCATGGTTGTCTTGGGGACGTGAATGACTTCTGATTCAGGGTTTCGGGTCTATATCAGATGTAACACGTGGCCCATCTTTAGACCCATAGCTTCTATGAACCCTAAACTCCTGGACTCCTGGAATCATTGGCCTAGGTTCTTAAGGGTTTCAGTCTTTAGGTGCTTGAACCCAAATCCAAAAACTCCAAGGACTTATGTCGACCTTTACTCTCTTGAGACGGCTGAGAGGGTGCGTGAGGCTGCTCTTCCACAAGGCAGGGAGGGCTTTCAAAATGACTTACTGGTGGCTAGTGGGCAATATATGGAACCTGGAAGGTGTTGTATCATTTTGGGGAAGGTGTGGGCTCGAGCCCCTGCCAGTGGTAGGCCTCATGAAGAGCCTTGATGAGAATCGCTGTGGAACCCGCAAGACACAAGCCAAACCCCAAAACCCGTGGCCTCAAAAATCCCAAACTCCAAGCATTAAACCTTAACCCCTAAACCTTCAAGGGTTCAAGTGCTTCTGACGCCCGTAGTGACTGTCCACTGTGTGCTGTGGACATAGCCGTATGAGGGATTCTAATACGTCGCGATCGGACTGCTACGGCTCTTCTTCTTGAGGGTTGTGGACTTGGGCAAGGGAGGGTCTGTTGAACATCGGTGACCACTGCTTCTACCGGTCTTGGACCGTACAGAGCGTCGGCGTGCTTGCATTACCAGATTCTGGTTATCTTTGACGGAGAGGCGGCTGCTGCAGTTTGGTTCTGGACCGGGAAGTGGGTGAGTTTGTTCCTGAAGGGTGTCATGGCCTCTCCTGGCTGCTAAGGATGGAGAGGGTGAGAGCGGCGCGAAGAAGTTGAAGACTGTGGCTGATATTGTCACAGTTGATGTGGCCATATTAAGGACACTTGTCCAGGAACAGGCGTCGGGGATTATGACGACACATGAGGTCAATTAGACTCAGTCGCAAAGCGTCTCGAGGCGAAGCAGTCAGAGCTTGCACACAAGAATTGATGAAGCTCAGGTTCGGGTTGAATTAGTGGAGGCCAAACTAGTATCGGTTGAGGATAGACTGGCTAAGCTGGAAAGTGGAGCAGTGCATGGTCGTACTACTGCCGGAAGGTCGGACACCAGTTCAGGGAAACCAGGACGCCAAACGTTGGTCTTTGGAGGATAAAGACTCTCGCAGAGCCTTGATTCTGTCTGACCTCAGAAAGGCCCTTGACCCCCTTGCGCTGAATCCCGACCTTGACGATTCTCCACTTAAGACGGGTACCAGGACGTCAGTTGTCATGAGTTGGAGTTCTCGAGCCGCGCTTGGCTTGAGGTTGCCCGCTCCAAGGGGAGCTTTGCTTGACGGTAAATGTAGGAAAGAGGCGATTAAGAAAAAAAACTCACTGCGCAGCCTAAGCCCCCGCTTTTTGATGCGTTTGTCCATCGTTGTTAGAGTCTGCTGCTGAGATACTCCTCATTTCATCGTCAACCCTTAGTCCCGAAGACTCCCAGTGGCCCTAGAACTTTGAATTCTACCTGGGCTCTAAACTTTTGACGGCCAGGCATTCGTGCGGTGGGACCTGTGCGAGACCCTGTATCCATGCTCGTTTCCGCATACTGCTATCATCACCGCGGGCAAGAGATGGGTAACTGACTGGAACTCATGTAGTGTTGAGGCAGCATGATTGAGGGCTTGGGACCAATTCCAGGAGAGAGGAAACTCCTAGCAATTATGAGCAGAAAGGTAACCGCAGGAGAGCTAAAACATAGGGACTATGAGGAAATGAGTAACTCCAAGACATAGGTGTTTTAGGAGTTATCAAGAGTTGGGTAATGCTGACGCATTTCCTGAAGGTGACTGCAAGCGAGACCACTCTTGGGAACATTGACTAGATAGGCGACCGCAGGTTCGCAGAAGGTACGCTTTTGCAGGACGCATACAAGGGAGAGCTTGATATCCAAAAGTGGCACGAAGGCCTTAGCATAGCACCTTACAGATTCTCTGGGCAATTTGGATTGTCTTGCGTGTAGCGCGCAGGCCGCTAAATCATGGATCTTGCGCTTTGCCTACTCTGACGAATTAAGTTGCGTGCTAGGCCAACGCGTGTTTTATTTTTCAGTGGGTTCATAGAGCAGCCCAGGCAATCCAGTGTTCTTCCCTTACGGCTGGCTGTGGCCTGAATTGGTGTTTCTGGGACCACAGGAAGGTCTTGTTTACGTTGCGGAGCGGCTGTTGCCATTCGTTCAGAACATGACGGAGGTGTTTGAAAACCCATTCAATGATACGCTCCGCCTTCACTATGAGAGGATGACCAGCTCCTCTGAAGGCTTCGATCAGGAGATGAAGAAAATGGTAGATTTCCTCTTCAAAGGCCTCATATCACCAGAACAGCGTGCTAAGGTGGGTGTTGCCAACATGTGATTTGCTGGATTTATATCACAGGTCCCTAAGCCAGGGATGCAGAATCTGGCAGGCTCTCAGCGCCATCCAGCTGGCAGATCTGAATCGTCTTCCCGGAAGCTCAGGTGGTGAGTTCTCAAAACACTGGCAGCTTTAGACTTTCATCACAGTGGATCTACATTCTGGTTCATGGCTGTACATAGCTGATACCCTGAACCCTAACTCCCTAGAGTTGAGAAACTCCAGGTGATCACCAGAACGACCCAGCTTGTGAGGAACAGGTCCGGAAGTATGTGCCTTCAATGCCAGCCGAACTGTTGGGACCCTATGTGAACTTCCAACAGCGGCTAGGATACTCTCCGGGATAGGGACCATCATCAGCATTGGCTCCCCAAGACTACCCAGAGGCTCGAATTTAGCTTCTTCTTGGGTGGTAAGAGGGAGTTACAGATGAGCCTCTGTGTTGAGGGTCCCGAGAGATAAACGGATGTACGCATTTGATTTTGCGTAATCGCAATGAGCTGGTTCACGTCTTGTAGATGTTAGTAGGGAATTGACAAATGGGTCCATACAGCAACAAATGGAATCCCAATAAGACATCCATTCATTCCTCAAAGCCTCACGCCAGACCCTTTGCCTGAGTCTGAGATTTGAGGCGTGGCAAAAAATATTTGGTCCGCGATTGTGAGTTGACAGTGATTCGTTGTTTTGCCATCAGCCGCATCAGCCTTCCTGGTGCTCCAATTGGAGGTTCTAAACCTCCGAGGTTCTTCCAGAATGCACGCATTGGCAGCGCAAACGTGAGGAATTAGCGAATTTGAGAAAGGATCCACTGGGGCCTCCTTGGCTTAACGTGGAGTGGGAGCCCTTGTTTTGGGAAAGTCAGTTTCTCTCAGAGGGGCAAAGGTTGCGCAAACGTTCAGGTCAGGCCTGTCACAGGGTCAGTTGTTGGCGTTTGCGGGCGACTTCTTGGAGGCAGCAGCAAGTTTCCATTGACATTCGCTTCAGTCTACCTGCCTGAAGGTGCTGACCAAAGGAATGTACACTGCAGCACGCCACCGCGTTTGCTTCGAGGCTGCCTTTGCCAGCTTAGATGATCTTAGATGCGGTTCTCGGCCCTGCTCGCACCGCTGCGACACAGGATATTGGAAAGCAGCGATTCAGCATGCCCTTTCTAGTTTGCCACTGAGTCTGAGCGCAGTTCGATTTTCAGTTCGTGCGTTGTGTAATGATGTGTGGTTTGCATGCAACCTTCTGCAGCTCAAGCAAAGAGGCGGGCAACATGCAGCCTTACATGCCATATGCAGGGAGCGCTCCGGGCGCTCCTGGAGCTTGCCCAGGGGCTGCCGCAAGCCCCTTCGCGGCCACCAATGTGCGTGCAAGCCCGTTCGCAGGAGGCGCCTCCACAGGTTTTGGCGCGCCTGGCGCACCGCCCACGTCAGCGTTTGCAGGCCCTCCAACTGGCGCGCCAATGGGCGGGCCGCCCATAGGCGCGCCACCGATGGGCGCGCCACCAATGGGGGGCCCGCCTATGGGCGGTCCACCGATGGGTGGGCCGATGGCAGGTATGGGACCGCCCACTGGCCCTGCCCAGGTACATGTGCCACCTCCACCCACAGTGGATCAGATGAAGACAACGCCAGCTGCTTCAGCCTTTCCTGGAACAGGTATGGGTGCAGCAGCACATGCAGAGCCACCAGCAGCTTTTGGTGTTGCTGCCACAGCCCAGGCACGAGGTCTTTATCCTCCGCAGGCAGACTCTTCAATGCCAGGCATGCCAGGCGCACATGCGGCCCCCGGACATGGCGGATTGCAGCCGGGGCCGAGCACCGGCCAGGATGCATATTCGGCACAGTTCCTCCGTGATGTAGAGACCTTCAACTCCCCAAATCACTTCGTGCGATGTTCAGTCTCGAGGTTGCCCAACTCAGCAAGTGCCAAGCAGAGGTTGAACATCCCTCTGGGTGTTGTTTTGCAACCCTTGGCGCCTCTTGCTCCAGATGTGGAGCAGGTCCCCTCGGTGAACTTTGGTGCTGTGGGCACCATAGTTAGATGCAAACAGTGCCGAACATACGTTAATCCTTTCGTGCAGTGGGAGGCTAATGGCCGTCGGTGGAACTGCAACCTGTGTGGCTTCTCGCAGCTAACGCCAGACACGTACTATGCGAGTCTGGATGAATCGGGGAAGCGCATGGATCGCTTCCAGCGAGCGGAACTGCACAAAGGTGCAGTCGAGTACATCGCCCCTGGTGAGTATATGGTCCGGCCTCCACAGCCTCCAGTCTTCATGTTTGTCATCGATGTCTCGTACACCTCAGTCGTAACAGGACTGCTCAACACTGTTGTAGCAAGCATCAAGGAGGCCATCCAATCAGGCAACATGCCTGGAGGCCAAAGGGTCCAGGTGGGCATAATCACTTTCGACACCAGCCTGCACTTCTACAACTTGAATTCCAACCTGAGTCAGCCACAAATGCTTGTGGTCTCAGACCTTGAAGATTTATTCCTGCCATTGCCCGATGACATCCTGGTGCCCCTGGCCGAAAGTGAGGCGGCCATCCTGAACTTGCTGGACTCTTTGCCCTCCATTTTTGGCGAGACAAAGGTCAACGAGTCCTGCCTGGGTTCTGCTGTGCGCGGGGCTTTCATGGCCTCCTGGCAGAGTTAGGGCCGGTTAGGGGTTGTCCACTTGCTTCCTGGTCTTTGCTGAGGCGATGAAACACATTGGTGGCAAGCTGCTCGTCTTCGGTGCCTGCATCCCCAGCGTGGGAGAGTTGGCGCTGAAGTCGACCCGAGACAACCCGAGGAGCGGTATGGAGTTCCAAAAGCATAGTGACATTTCTTGACCGTCTGTATGCAGTGTCCTTGTTGACATGACACCGCTCTTAAGAAGCCCAGAGGGTCTGTTCATGCTTCACGGTCTTCGCAGCCGTCTTTTCCAACAGCATCGCTTCAGGTTGCTTGGCACAGACCGTGAGGTAGAGTTGCTGCGGCCTGCCGGCATCTGGGCTGCAAGAGCTCTCTGGAGTGACAGAGAAGGTGTGAGAAATTGTCAGAAGCTGCTCGCAGGCAACGACGGGTACAAACAGTTGGCACAGGAGACGCCTTGATGTGATGTCGGCGGTGCCTTTGTGTACCATGTGTTCAGTGCAACACATGTGGCACAGCACCTAACAGGTCTGCACAAAGCAACGCAAGAAGAAAAACAATGGAACTATGCAGTTTGTAAGGCAACGTGTTTGTCAAGGTAGGAAGCTTTGGCCAGGAGCTTACGCCGGCCCAGATCTCTGTGGAGCTGTTCATGGCACCGCAGGCCTACATGGACTTGGCCTCGATTTGCCCGCTGGCCAAGTACACTGGCGGCGACGTGCACTACTATCCGCAGTTTAACATCAACACCTGCTACGTACCCCGGCTTTGCAACAAGGCAGTACAGCAAAACCTTGTCTAGCGTTAACATTTTACCCTGGCCAAAAATGTTCAGGTCAAATTCAAGAGTGAGCTCGTGCATGTACTTACTCGCTACATGGGGTGGGAGGCTGTCATGAGAGTTCGTGTTTCACGTGGCTGGAAGATTACGAAGTTTGACGGCCACCTATTCATTCGAGGGCAGGACCTTTTGGTGGTCCCCAACTGTCATTCGGACCAGACCTTCGCCATACAGATTGACATGGATGACAATGTCACACCAGACCCAGTGCTGTACGTTCAAAGCGCGCTGCTTTACACCAACAGTGAGGGTGAGCGACGCATCAGAGTGCACACGTGGGCCGCGTTGACCACACCCAACTTCAACGACATCATCGGCTCCATTGACGTGCAGGCAAGCGCCGCCATGATGTCGCACCAAGCCATGGACCAGTCAATCAAAAGCAATCAGACGGAGGGCCGAAACAAGCTCAACTCCTTCTGTCAGCAAGTGGTCCAAGCAGGAAACGTGTGTCAGACAGAAGCACTGCAGTATCTCCCTTTGTACATCATGGGCATGCTAAAATCTGCAGCCTTCCGTGCAACCAATGACATTTCGGCCGACTTGCGAACTTACATCATGATGCGACTCGAGACATTGTCTGTGTCACAGACAGCAGCATTCTTCAATCCTCGGCTCATGGCAATCCACAATGCGCCTGAGACTTGCGACAAGCCAGACGAGCATGGCCGGGTGCAGCTTCCGGAGATGCTCAATTTGACTAGTGAGTCCATGACACAAGATGGGGTTTATTTGCTGGAGGATGGTGAGTCCATGTACATGTGGATCGGAAGGTCGGTGGACACCAGCTTCACACAAGCGGTTTTCGGAGTCAGCTCGTTTGAGCAGATAGACACCAACTCAGCAGAAAGCATTGTTGGGACCCGGGGCGACCCGCTGTCCAACAAGATTGCGAACATTATTAGACAAGTGCGCATGGAGAGACCAACACCTTACATGCAGCTGCATGTGATTCGGCAGGGAGAGCCCAAAGAGAACAAGTTTTTCGCTGCGCTCATTGAGGACCGGACCATCGGCTTGCAAAGCACTTATATGGAGTTCTTGACGCGGATGGGCTACCGCCCTGCGCCCGCTGGGGCACCACCAGCTGGTGCTGGAATGATGGCACCACCAATGAGCGGGGCGTACTGAAGTCAAAGGCTGAGCCGACCTCACTCTCACCTTGCGCATCGAACGCAAAAATGTGTAGCCTGCTCTGACCTCGTCTGGCGAACCAGGCTTGTGGTATGTACCCTACTGGTTCTGAAAAGCTATGCATGTCTCAGGTCCGCGGCCAACCTAGCAAGGTTCTGGATACGAGCGCCTTCTTGCAGGAGGTCCAGGATTTTGGGCATGAGAGCCGCTTTTTCCAAGTGTCTGGAGCTGTTGTGCAGGACAAAGACTTGCCTCTGCTACATGTAGAAGGCCGGCACTTGCCATGCAAAGCTTTGGGCACGAGACCGCTGCTGAGCACTGCATCTGCACAGGAATTCGTTATGCCGAGCTCAGGCAATTCCTAGACCTGAAAGGCACACAACCCACAACAGGCGAACCTCAGAACTTCAGAATGTGCAGATCATAGCAGGTCGACAGCGCTTCCGAGGCCTGAGTCGACCTGAGCCCAGCAGATCGGAGAACTTTCAGAAAGATGCCTCTACTTGCACATCTGCTGAGTTGAGCTGCTCGGGTGTGGGGTTAAGGTTTGTAACTCTAATTTGGATAACATCTATATCTGCTTGCAGATCCTATTTGCATTGTAACAATGGGATTAAGGAGAGTTCAAGAGGATGTTGGTGAAGTCGTGTCTAAGAACTTTGCGTATGCTTTGATTCATTTTGTCTTCATCTCTCTTAGTTCCTTCCGACGATTTGCTCCAGATATTTGGAAAGTCTGTCCGCAGTTTTTATTCTTGCTTCTCTGGTTCTGAGCAGAGACTTCCGGGCGTGTTGGTGAGGTTTTCCTGCCAAGTGGTCTTCGTATCTTTCGGAGGCTGTTTTCTCTCGCTTCTATCTGTTGATCTCATCCTTCTTCTTTTCATGGTATCCCAGTTGTGATTCACGAGACCACATGCATGCTAGGAAGCCATCGAGTTTGTCTATATGTTTGACAGGTTAACAGCTGCTACATTCTTGCAATTCGCTGCCCATTAGTTCTAGATTCAATGGTGATATCGTTTTAAATGCTTTCTAGAAATGCAATTCTGAAATTTACTATGTTGTCATTGATTCTTGACAGACTTATCTAACAATTCAGAACACGTCAAAATACTTTGAAGGTAACAATAAGAAATTCTACCAACACATTATGATGGTTTCAAACAGCAAATGTTTTGACATGCTCACAACAACAACACTTCCTAGTAATATTAGTATCTGGCTCACTAAATATGCTCCAAAACCAACTAATATCCTATCTAGTGTCACTGGCATTATTTCTATATACACTTTCAAAATGGTTGCAGTATGCAGTATTAAAACGCTTCCCTTTACATAATGTGAAGCTATGAAAACGTGCTGGTTCCTTAAGCTTTAACGAAACAATTTGACATGTGGATTAAACTCATTTTCACATTCGTATGGTGCGCTTATGATCCTCATGAGAACGAAGCAAACTCTCCATCTTCAGCTTTTGGATCAAGTGAATGTGGCCCCAAGTTCTAGAAGTTTTACATTTCCTGCAGAGTGGGGTTGCCTCGAACTGGTGGGGCTTGGGCTGTCCGTGCCACTGCCGAGGGGCGGACATAGGAGCGCTAGTTGCTTCCTTTTTGTTGGGGTTCGGTCATTTGGATTTGCTTGGGAGGGGTTCCAATTTCGAAGGCCCCTCCCAAGCCCTTCCTTCCATCCCAATCCTCCTGCTTCACCTGAAAGGCCCAGAGCTCTGAGGTGCAGTCGAACCTGCCGACATGAAGCGAGACAAAGGGGAGACAAGCGGAGACAAGAGGTCCACGGACCCGGCCGAGACCACGCACATGAAGGGAGACAAAAAGAAGACAAGCGGAGACAAGGATTCCACGGACCCGGCCGAGACCACCCACGTGAGGGGAGACAAAGGGGAGACAAACAAAAACAAGGACTCCGCGGACCCGGCCGAGACCACGCGCATGAAATGAGACAAAGGGAAGACAAGCGAAGACAAGAGGTCCACAGACCCGGCCGAGGCCACCCACATGAAGGGAGACAAAGGGAAACAAGCGGAGACAAGGATTCCACGGACCCGGCCGAGACCACGTGAGGGGAGACAAAGGGGAGACAAACAAAAACAAGGATTCTGCAGCGAGTTCAGGTGAGTCATCAGGACATGCATTCTGCGGTCCTTTGGCCCAACCAAGGGGCCCCTTTTTAAGCTCAGAGAGTTAGCTACGCATGCTCACGGCGAGTAAAAGGTTCAGTGCTCAGTGAGTGCCCTTCTGTGAGAGCCCAATACGTAATTCCACTTGTGCCATTCCAGCTGCATTGGTAGCGGAGCGAGTCAGCTCCAGGGCTTCTTTGAACTGGCGTAGCTTGCTGGATTCTTCTTTGAGGACTTTGTGTTCAGGAGAGGCATCCGGGTTGGTTTCTCCAGATATCACGATTGGCTTCGTGCTTCAAGGGATGTCCGAATCCAAAGACCACAGCGTCCCTACCTGGCATGGATCTGCTCGCGGCTGGCGAAGGTACACCCGCGAGGTGGCTTGGTTTGTCCAAGGAACTCCCGTGCACAAGCGAAGGTACTCTGCAACTCGCTTGATGGGTCGATCGACGGGACCTGCCCGACGTCTTGCGATGTCCTGGCCTCAGCAGAGTTTCGATGCTGCAGACGGTGCTCTTCGACTCCTTCGGCGGCTGGCGCAGAGTCCCTTGGTCAGGAAATCCTTGCCGAATGCTGCGGCGATCTGTCAGCAGCACTTTGCCTTCAAGCGCAACCCAGGCGAGTCCATCGGCAATTTCCTTGTGCGTGAGACCTTGGTTCATGAAGAGCTCGTGGAGGCCATCGTCCGACTTCATGAGGACAAGCTTGGCGTGCCTCAGGATCAGAAGGATTTTGGCCTACCATCACACGCTGAACGTGGAGAATCTTGGTGGTACGATTGGTACGAGGATTACGAGGGCGACGAGGTCCCTGAGGCAGATGGCGATCGACGACCTGATCTCCCACCTGATCGATCCCGTCAAGCTGATTCTCCGGATCAAGATGGTAGCGATCAGGGAGTTCCTGGAAGCGCGCCAGATCCTCCGAGAGCCTCGGCTGGGTCGTCCCCAAGTCACCGAGGACCAGAAGAGCTTCCTCAACCACCAATCTCGGGCACCAAGAACCAACCCGTGGATGAGATGTCTGTTGACGATGCGTTCATCATGGGTGTGCTCAGAGGTTGGAGGCTACCTCAGGCAGCCGGCTTGAGTGCAGAGGAAAAGCGTGACAACCAAGAATTGTCTTGACTACAGGTCATCTCCAGTGCCTTGCAGACTCTCTGGGATGAGCAGCTACTTGGTCATCGTCCTGCGCCTCATTATCAGAACTATGCCATGTGCCAGGACGAGAACGAGCTCTACTACCAGAATGAGGCTTGGCGTGATGGCTCCGGAGATTGGTGGGACTATCAGTCTTACTACTCGTACGGCGAAGATGACTGGTGGCAAGATGACTGGGAGGCGCCAGAACAGGCGTCAATGCCTGTGGCCAACGCTGTCACAGAAGAACCTGCCGAAGATCCTGCACTTCGTGAAGCCCAGCAGGCGGAGAAGATAGCGGAGTCCTTAGCCCTAGATGCCCAGAGGACCTGGGCGGAAGCGCAGAAGGCAACTCAGGCTCTTCGGGTTTGGTGCAGTGATGTCATCTACCAATCCTCCGGTGAAGTAGTGCTTCAACTGTGGTGGTCCTCACTATACTCGTGACTGTCCAGATCGTCGCCGCCCCTCCAACTGGAAGGGCAAGGGCAAGTTCAAGGGCATGTTCATGGCGACTACGACTACATGCGCAACTTCTACGCCGGCAAGAACAAGAAGGACTCGAAGGGCAAGTTCGATGGCAAGGGCAAGAAGGGTGCGTCCCTGGAAGCTCAGGCCCAGTGGATGAAGGGCAAGGGCAAGTCCTACGGCGTGGCTCCCCGCACCGTGAACGCGTACAGTGCTGAGTTGTGTCTTCATGGGTTGGAGATCTCCCCTGCTTTGGGCCTGGCGGCTTCGACGACCTCCCCAAGCAAGCCTGAGTTGGGAATTCTTGATTGCGGAGCTACAGCTTCCGCTGCTCCTGAGGCTGTTCTTCAGGGCCTCATTCTTCCATTTTGGAGCAAGACCGCTCCGCCAAGATTGAAGTGGGCACAACTTCACGCCCGTACTTCAGGTTTGGGGATGGTCGCTGGGGTCGAGCATTATATCGAGCAGTCCTTGGTTCAGATGTGTCAGGGGTGTGTCGAGAGTTCTCATTGTACACCTTGCCGAATCCTTCTAATCACTACCAGCCCAACTTTGACAAGAATAATTTGGTCCCCAGCTTGATTGGGATGGATTTCCTGGGACAGAAAGGTCTGGCTACGAGTTCGTATGATGATGCATCAGATGTCTTCCAGCTGGCGAACCCCAAAAATCACTTCATGCTAGACGTATGTCATCATCTTACCAGAGGACACACTCGACAAGATGGTCATGCGCATGTCAAAGTGAAGCCTGGCAACCCCAAAGAGGATCGCGTTCAAGAGGTGCATGTCTTGGATCTCCATGCAGTGCAGTTTGACGTGACAGTCTGTGATGGTGTCCTTGATGACCATGAATTGCACCAGTCTAGACAGCGACTTCTCAGGGTTCATACCGCCGCTCAGGAACTTCGCAATTCTGCAGCCGTTCGCGGCTCAATGTGTGGACCCTACTCAGGTTTTCAACGATCTTCGACAACTTCCTCTCCTACATCCCAGCGTGATGGCGACCTTGTCACCTCCGCAGGATCAGGCGGCCGCGAACAGCATCAACTTTGCAAACCCGAAGCCGAAGGCAAAGGCCAAACCCTTGGACCACACTCGAGCTCAGCCTGGAGTCCCGAGAGATCCGCGAGCGTCGGACAAGGTGTGGCCGTGCTTCAACAAGCATCGCCCGACCAAGCCTCAGGCAAACAACTTCGGGAGCTGGCAACATTGCGGAATCTGCGACCGCCGCATGATGTACGTGCCTCGTCAGGGCGCGACCGGTCAGCGCACTTCCTGCAAGAACCCGCAGATGGTTCAGCGCTGCCTCAAAGAACTGCAGCCCTTGATGGAGGGCCGCCTTCCGACAGCCAAAGTGGTCCGAGCAATGCAAGCCAAGATCGATGGGGAGGAGGTTCTCCGGACCTACATCACCGAAGCTCACGCCAGTGCTTCCGGTGGAGAGCTTGACCTGGATGCCGCTCTGGCTGGTACGACTGTTGGGGATGTGAAAGCTTGTCTGAGTGACGCACATGAAATGCCAGTTTATCTTCAACGACTGTTCAGCGGAGCCATGGAAGTGTCCGAATGCAGGTTGCTGGCTGAACTGGTGGCCTCCGGCTGCGAGAGTCTGCTCTTGGTGCTGAACTTGGATTTGCCTCGTTTTCGGGGATCAGGGATAGGGCACGAGATGATTTCGCACTAGCCACTGGTTTGGGGCGGATGAACACGGTGCGCTCTTTCTTGGAGGCTGGTATGCCTGCCAACACGCTAGTGCACGATCAGAGATGCTTGAGTGTGTTGATGGTGGCATGCATGTGTGGCCAGGCAAGCGTAGCAGAGTTGCTTGTCGAACATCATGCCGCGATGAATACTGTTTGGCGTCCTGATGGTAGCGCCGCGTTGCTGTTGGCTATTGGCATCTCGTCGCGGCCAGGCGCGTGTTGCAAGCATGCTTCTTGAAAAAGGGGCTGACCTTCATTTGCTTGACGGGAACGGTAGATCGGCGCTGATGATAGCGTCTATTTCGGGTCAGCTGGGAATCGTATGCCTCCTGCTTGAACGTCGGGCTGATACGTGGTCTTGGGACAAGCAGGGCCTTGATGTTCGCATGTGCTGGAGGTAAGCTAGACATCGCTCGTGAACTGCTTGTTGCCCGGGCCGATGTCAATGCGTGGGACAAGAGAGGAACGACGGCGTTGATGTTGACCGCAGAGAGAGGACACTGGCTTGGACCATGCCTGGATGTGTCTTTTACCGAATGGCGGCAGCGACTTGACTTTCTGGAGTGTGCAAGTCTGCTGCTTCGGAGTTCTGCTGAGATAAATGACAGGAACCACAGGTGTAGAAGCGCGGTGATGACCGCGTGCTTTTTCAAGGACTGGGAAACGGTACAATTGTTGCTTGGATTCTGAGCGGAAGTAGGGTGCAGTGACGTTGACGGCTTCATATCCTTGATGCTAGCGTGCGAACATAGTGATGCGGAGATTGCAAGTTTGCTATTGTCACGAAATGAGCCGACGTGAGCCGCTACAATGTGAGAGGCGCCATGCCGCTGCATATAGCGGCCACGCGTGGTCACGTGGCAGTTGCGGATCTTTTGCTCCGTGCCGGTGCGGACAAGAACGTAACCAATGGTGACGGTAAGACGGCGCGGGCAGAGGCTCTGATGAGTGGTCACGCGGAGCTCGTTCGCGTGCTGCGTTAGGGTTGGAGAACAATTCTTGCGAAGGACGTACGCGACCCAGCGTGGGAAGTCTGTGTCAGCGACTCTGCGTGCACTTTTGCTCCGGGACTTGGGTATCGCCATCGCCCTTGTTTGAGAACTTGGTCCGGCTCCTTGTTTTTTTCCCCCCCTTGATATGCGACGGGAAACTTGCGATGGCTTGCCTTGTGGACCAGTGTGAGAGATCGTGACAAAAGGGGCGACACCCGGATAATACACGAGATGTTGGGTGTGCTCAAATCGCGTATCTGGTTTTGGAATTTGCGTGCTAGACACCGTGTTTGATTCGTGCGACCCGGATTGAAAGAGACGGAGCGAGAAAGGGATGAAAAGAGTCAGATGCAATCGCAAAAAAAACAGAGCCTTCCTGAACTACGAGGTCGCCGCCCTTAGCCTTTTCAGATCCTAGACACTAAATCCAAACAAAACCAGTCGCCTTTCCATCTCGGATCGCGCGCCTTACAAAACAATAGAACGAAAGACTTGGCAAACCATCACTAGATCGCTGCCAAAGAGCATGTTTATCCAGCACAAAGAGGGATAGATGGACCAATGGACGAGGCAGGCGACCCGGCGTGGGAAGCTGCGTTGCTTTGATGCCGATGAAGTTCCGGACGGAACATCCGGTATCGGAAATTGTGCGAAGTGCTCTCATTTTTTTATGTACAGAATCTGGACTTGCGTGGAGATTCTTTCCCTGCGGTGTAAAAAGAGAGAGTCTTCGGATGATGATAGACCTACATGAGTCATGCACCCTTTCTCATGTCAGGAACCTGCTGGCGTGTGCTCGATGTGGTCCGGTCCTTGGAGTTCAGTTGCCTGGTCTAGCTGTGCGCTTTACAATTCACGTTAAGGTGCTTCCTCACTGAGCAGATCATCTCGGTTACATGAACGCCCAGGTCGTCGCTAGTGACGGGCGATGATCACTTGAATGAGTGCTTGCGGGAGGCCCAGATGATCATCGCCGCCAACGAGACAGACAGACACATGTATACACACGAACTCGCCACATGCACAGGCACACGTACACACACGCACACACACACAGACACACACCCACACACGCACACACACACACACAAACACACAAACACACCCACGTGCGCACACACACACAGACACATGAGCACACGCACATGCACACGGGTATAGATACATGTATATATATATATATATCTATCGTGTATATATATAGGTGTTCATATACATATACACCAGCTTCAGCTGATACCGACTTCGCTCTCGCGCAATGTGCTCGTCGTTTCACCGCGGAATGCGATCTCAAGAGTTTGCATTCTTTTATACATGTCTTCTTGTATCGCCGGGCGACCCTATCTGAACAGTCTAACACTTAAGCTTGGGTTAATCTACACATGTGGGGTTCTCCGGTCCTTTAATTTAACGTATGACAAATTTTGTTGTGGTTTTTTGTGAACAACGCTTAGGGCGCTTGAATGACAAAATGAAAAAAGTGATTCTGTGGAAAATGTCTGAAGCAAAGGGGCAAATCGCTATAAAGATCATTAAGAAGATGCAACAACAAGTTAAAACATAATAGATGTCTAACAAGACAAAGGAATGAGGGCGCTAGGCAGGGTCGGGGGTGGGCGTTTCAGCATCACCTTTCTACTAATTTTTTGGAGGGATACCCGGGGGCGGGGGTTTGGCAAGCCGAGAACCGGGATCATATATTCGCGATTTACCCGGCTTGCAGCCCGAGCATGACGAAGCTTCCACAAAATGCGCCTGGTTCGCCCTGCTTGCAAACCTATGCGTTCCGTTTGCCCGGCCGGCATTCGCAGAATCCTTAATTTCGAATAAATTCTAGCTGCAGCGGCCTGCATTGTTCCAAGAGTTTCTTCGCGAGCGGAACCTGCTATTCCTGCAGGCGCTTTGCCAGCAATCCTGTGGCAGACTCTGCACGTCCTAGCTTTGCTGCTTGCTGCAGTCCCTCGCGACCCCCTGCAGAGGCTCAGCAGAGCGTGTCACCTTCTCTGCAGCAGACCGTTCTTTCCGAGTCTAAATTTGCGGGATCAAAGGCTGAAGTTTTTACTCTTTGGCTTTTGCTGGGTTGTAAGTAGGCGACCGCTCAGCCCAGGTCTTCCGTCAGTGATTCATCGGGCTGGGGCTCAAATGCCACAAATGTGCCAATACATTTTGTCACAATGATGGAGGCACATCCCGATGCAGGGTTCTCTCATTCCCTCCATGCCAACAGCAGGGTTATGCCATAAGTACCAAATACAGAGAATCTCCAAGCCTTGCAAGTTGCCAAAAGAGTTCACGACGCTTGTGCAATTGCCGAACCTGAAGCGGCACACGTGGGGCCGGGTCTCGTCTCAAAACAAAAAGCGATCCAACTCCTCACTATTCTTGGGGGGCCTGATTTTTTGTTTTGTTGTTTGCCAGGCCCAATATTAGGAATGAGTAAACAAGCTTCAGCAAGGACATTGTGCAGGCTCCTGCGGTGTTGTACCATTCAAGCATGAGGTGAAGCAATCAAAAGTGTGCATAGAGTGCTCCTGTTGCTTACTTCACGTAACAAGTCTTATGTATTTCCACGCTGGAGTCCATTCAACTAGCATACTGTACAAGAAGAGATCACATAGTGATCCTACCTACGAGTATCGGCAAAGTATCATTACAACTAAATGCGCTTTGAAAGAAGGTCATCGGAGCGCACAGCGGAAGACCAATCGGATTTGCTGAGCAAGCCTTGGGAAAGTTGAACGGAATAGAAAGGCCTTTCTCACTCTCTGGGGAGCGGCAGTCGCCCACAACACCTGAACTTGCCAATTTCACCTCCTGCTTGACTGTGGCTCCAGAAAAGGTACCACCAAAAGGGATCGCAGAATTGGCATGTGACCAAAAGCATGCCACCAGCGGTGTAAGGGTGAGCTGTGTCACGGAGTCACGATACAATACATGTGACCCTGAGCCCTGCGAGCTCGGGCGCGTAGACTTGTGATTTTATGCCCGCAATGGCAGAGGCAAGATGTTAACTCACCTTTAGAATGCGGTGAGGAAGCGTGCTATGCAGGCACAATTGCCAGCAGCGCCAGCTGTGCCCAACATGCAGCCCACTGCTGAGAGGCGACAAGACCAGGAACTGCTAAGTCCTGCAAGGGTGGCCAAGGTCTCCACGGGTCCGAGCAGCTATGCGTGTGATGGGCATCATCCCGACTGACCTGGATGCGAAGGCATGATCAATTTGAAGTGTCAGTGTGACCTTTCGCGGAAAGCTTGCAGCACTTCAGGAGGAGGCAGACTTCGGGGGGAACCAGGCAGCTTCTGCATCAACGTTGATCGTTGGACCGATTTCTGCCACTGTCAGACCAAGCACCTGCTCTTTGAAAAGAAGCGACGTGCTTTGCTTGGACATGCCGTGGCCTTGGTGATGCGAAGATTGCTTTTTCTTTGCTTTTCTTGTCGGGGCAGGTTACCACTCTGGCTGCCAGAGGGCCGCAGGACACGCTGTGTTTATGACAGTGTTTCATGCAAGTGTTTTGCACCGAACATCCATATGGTTACTCCAAGGCACGGCCTGTTAGCTGGTCTGTTTTGCAGGGCGGTGAAGCCCATGATTTGGGAAGGTCAGCAGGCTGGCAATGGTCTGGTTTATGACCGCGTGGTAGAGAGCATGTCGTTCAGCAGGGCAGTGTGCCTAATAACGAGATGCAATTGTCGGCAGGTGACTTGAATGCCTCTTTCTTGGAAGAGGCCACGGGGCAGCAGCATGTAATCAATTTGCTCCTACTGGTATTGTTTTTTTTTTTTTATTATTGTATGTCTTGTATAGTTTAGTGCTAGCTGTTCGAGGGCACTTTTTGGCAAGCCTATAGCAGTGTGCAACGCAGCCTCGTGGTCATAATGAAGATAAGTAGCTACTCCAAGTCAAGACCCCAGAGCCAGGTGCAGCCGCACATGACAAGGTCCCTTTGGTGAACTTGGTTGGAATGAGCCATTTGATATCCCAAGATGAACCGCCAGAAGGATTCCAACATTTGTTCAACGCATCAGGGATCGTTGATGGTGCCTAAGACCAATCACAACAAATCACAATTTTTTGCCCGCTTGTCTCACCTCCATGATGCCATATGTCATGACCAATACGTGTTGTAAGGAAGCCAAGCGCCAGCCACGTTTTCAGGATTTACACTTTTAATCCCCTAAGCCCCAAAGCCTCAGGTTTTTATGTAAACTCAGGAGATTTGTCGATACACAAAACGGTAACATGTTTCGGAACTTTCAGATTTCGTCTTAGACATTAAGACAGGAGCATTTGTATGCATGTGTACTGTCAAGGCTCAGAGACAGACACCCAGCTGCCCAAAGGTCAAACAATGTGGGTGCAGGGACTGTGTAGTCAAGACCTAATTTTATAGAATGGTAGCGGAGCTCCACCAAGACTTTTGGGGAGCAATAATGTTGCCACGAGCCATGGTGGTCAGCCTAATCACAACAAGAATGGTCCTGTTGATTCAAATCTTGGTTGTCACTGGAAGTGTTAGCAGTTTGCAAAGAAATGAGAGAGAGAAACAAAGATGTGCACAATTTGCCGGATTTGGCAATAGCAGTGCGACACGGCAGGAGGTATTGCAGGAAAGCCTGTGAACACGTCACAAATAACGCAGTGCACCACGTTGGCAAAGTACTGCCAGATACGTAAAAGGAAAATCAAATGCTACTGGCTGGCCTCCTCGACCGCCTTCATGGCGGAAAGATGGATACATTTGGCCATAGCCTGGAACTCAGTGGTAGTGGTGGTTTCCCACACGCGGAAGTACAACCTTCCAGGAGTGCCAAGATGTGTTACCTTGGAGATGTTGTAGCCGCTAGCCCTCATGGGAGAAGACGGCGAGGCATCAAAGTAGTGAAACAAGACAGCAGGGAAGAGCTCCAACAAGGAAAACTAGAAGAACATGACCACATTGGATATGTTTCTCTATGACTTGTGCGCAGGAATTTTAGAGAGCCCAATTATCATTGAGAAGTTAGAGGAATTTTACAACGATTTCATGAACAAGCATGTTCAGCTTAGACAAAAATCTACAACATGTTCTACATAGCAGTGAGTGGAGCCCTCGGCCTGGTTACACCCTTGAGATCGATCTCAGTAAAGTTTCACACAGTCAGGAAAGAAATCATCTGGTAGAGAATCGTAGGATGCATCTTGTTTGGATGTACTGCGTTAGGAATGATTACTTGGATCTTTCTTTCGGACATAGCTCATAAGAAGCTGCAGCAGCATGCAGGAAAGCGCGCAAAACAAAGCATTATTCTAATTAGTTTGCCTCTAGCAGCGATGGACCAGGCACGGCAAGCCCCATTGCAACTGTCTCAGAAGACAGCAGCTCAGTCCCTAGCAAGGTCACTACAATACTCCACATCATCAGGAACACAGACAGTCAGCGACTTAGCAACAGCAATGGCCTCATGTGCAGCAGCTTCAGAAAAGGAGAAGTGGAGTTGCACAGTCTCATCAAATCCCCTGATGTGTTTATGCCGTTTACTTAGAACTGGCTTGATTTCAGGGATAGATTGAGGACATGCTCGTCAGTGGTTGATCCCAAGTCGTTGCACCTTGTGCGAAAAGCCGTGAAGGTGCAACTACGGAATCTGAATACGCTACAGCTCCGGACACAGGAAGCAGAGCAGTTGAGTTGTACAGTACCCTTTCGAGGAACATGCAGAACCGCCTACTCAAAGTTTCGTGGTCGGCGGGAAATTCCGACGTCTGCGAAGTTTGGAGGAACCTGACAAAAGAGCTTGAACCATCTTAGCGGTCAAGGTTGTTAGCGATTTCTCAAGCTCCGGTCGGATTTCCGGCGATGAGCAAAGGAGCATCGCTGATGGGATTCGCGCGTAAGAGAAGCTGATCACCGCGTACGAGATTCGCGTTGACAAAGTACGACGAGAATTCAATAACTGATACGTTGTTGAAAAGAATTCCCCAGGAATTTCGACGGCTCGTGTTAGTGGACATGACAGGATTTACGAGTGTTCAAAGTCCGTTCACTGAAGCGGAAACCTCCAACTCAGCAGTGGAATGCCGGACTGCTTGAGAACGACTCTCTTGAGGATTTGCTTGAGAATGTCGGGGCTGAGTCCCGAGAGCCTGAGGCGTCAGCAGCGAGTGATAATGCAGAGTCGAGCCGTGAAGAGTTAAATCGGAATGCAGTGATCCTAACTGCCAACGTACGTGCGTGAACGTGGTGAATTGTACATCCTTGCGCATGTTGACGATCCAATGATCATTGCAAGCAAGGAGAAAGCATTCATCAAGGAATTTTCTAACAAAGTGCTTCTGAAAGTCACTGGAGAGTTGACTGCAGGAAGTGAGCGCAGCTTCCTGGGTCGACGACTGAAGCGTAATGGCGATTCCATTGATGTGTCAATGTCGCCCTCATATATTGATAACCTGCTCGATTTGTGTGGAACGCAGAAGGCAAAGTATGTTCGAACCATTGGATTTGCTACTGTCAGCCGGACAGTGAGTGAAGAGCCACTGAGGGAAGAATCTCACGAGCTTTGCCAGGCTGCGGTTGGAAAGTTGTTGTGGCTAGCGCTGATCTGTGGTGACATCTCCCATGCGATTGAGGAATTGAGTCGTCGTGTCACTGCACCGACGGAGCAGAGCCTGGCCAAATTTGAAGCACTTACTACCTGAATCAGCAGGCTGTGTTGAGTTTGAGACCTCATAGCCAGATTGCCAACGGTCAATGCGCGTTGGACATACATGTGCATGTAGGTTCCGACTGGGCCGGATGTAACAGGACCTTGAAGAGCACGAGTGGTTTTACTGCGAGGGTCCTTGATTGCTGTGCTATGGCAACCGGCAGCGTCCAGGGCCCCATTGGCGTTGAGTTCAGGTGAAGCAGAATTGTGTGCGATTGGTCAAGGTGTTTCGGAGGGACTGTTCGTCCGTTCGTTGATCCAAGAAGCCCAAGGAAAGCGAATCGAGCAGCGCGCGCTGATAGCGCTGCGGGAAACTAAAGCATGTTGGATTGAAGTTTCTGTGTGTGCAAGATTCGATTGCTAATGGAATGTTGAAGATCTTTAAGGTCAAGACTCAATTGAATTTTGCTGATATGTTTACCAAGTGTGTGTCGGTTGAGACTTTGAGGTCTGGTGTTGGGGTTATCACGGATTGGTTCTCTACCGGGATTGGTGCGGTGGTTTCCCGACGATGCTCGTGATGCCAATGTGTTCCAATCGCCCGCTGGGATTGACTAGGTTTAAGAAGTGACTGCAGGGTGAGATGGCTGGAATTGCATGACGTTTTGCGAGTGTCTTGCGATTGCGAATGTAGTCATGTCTGAGTGGCTTTTACTTTGTTTGTTTTTGAGTTTTGAGGATTGCAGACCAAAGGTCCAAACAGGCCCGAATCCGAACAGGTGGTTGCCAGGAATGACGTGCGCAAACAACACCGCAGCATACACTGAAGGTAGGACTGTCGTGTTGAAGGACTGCGTGCGCATTGTTTTCCCAAGGAATGCTAAGGATTGTAAAAGTCGTCCTGGGCAGGGTCGGCTTTTTGGGCACTGGATTAAGTCTGAAGTTCCTGGGCAAGGTTGCCAACTCTTCAGATTCAGAGTAAAGGGCATGTCTGGGAGACTGGAGACTGACCCTACTGACCCGCCTGCTTCACGGATGGTTTCAGTGGCTGCAGGACTGTGTATAATGTACAGTGCTGGTAGAGTGAATGTGTGCGAACCCTTGCGCCGCGTGCCATGCAATTGGGGGCAGGGAAAAAATGGGAAACCATTCCTTAATGCCTTAACTTCAACCCTAAACCCTAAGCCCCAAGCCCTACAATCAGCCTCAACCTGTCCTTTGAAAGCCAAAGTACAAATTCAAGCCAAGCCATAGGAGCCGGAGGCTAGGTGTTAAGTTCATAATTTCAGAGGTGTCAGTGGGGACGGAAATTGACCAGCAACATGCCGCGGCGCCCAGACACATGTGTTTTGTTTCCGCAGTTTTCCGACAGCCAGTTGGACGTAGGATTGCACTTGCTGTGTTTGAGTCACACAGAATACGGGCAAAATCATGAACTTTGAATTTTAGTCTTTGGGGTGGACGGTTCTAGGAGCTAGGGTCTGTGGGTCTGTGGGCGTGGTAGTGGTAGCCTAGGCACTTACATGTACGGTGACATTTTAGATAAACGTGCCACGGAGGTAGTGTAAAGGATCTATGATAAATCCAGATGTTTTCCTGTTGAGATTCAATTCCGGATGTTTTAATCATGGGCGGCCGGACGCCGTGCTTTGCAGAGGTAGTGTAATATACCTGTTCGGTTGTTTACGTGTCCGGATGTTGAAAAAGGGTCGCCGGAGGTTCGAGCATACCTGTCAGAATTCAAAATTCAAAACTTACACAGACACTTCATAAATTGTCGGTGTTCTTGAGAACGCCATGCCTGAGCGTCGGGCAGTTTTGGGTGATCTGCTTGCTGCTATTCGCGTCGCAATTGGCAAGCACCTTGATTTAGTAAGGCCAGCAGCAGATTCCAGTCTGTAGTTGCCAAAATCGCAGAAGCAACCCATCAAACAGTTCCTGTGACAGTAGGTGAGATGGGGGGGTATGTAGTACGGGGGCATTGTGATCAAGTCAAGTAGCGCAGGCGAAGTTAACTTCTTGTCTCGCATTATTAGTGTCATGTACTTGTCTGACATAAGGGTCATCGGGGCAGTTCGAAAATCTAAGGTGCCATGGATGGC